GTTAGAAAATACAATAGGTGATGTGGCAGCTCCATTTTCCTCGTTGACAGGTTCTTCAGCCTCTGAAATGACTTGAAGTGAGGGTGATACGGGGACAGAGGACGCAGAGCCATGAGAGGGCCTAGGTACCTCCAAATGCTGCGAACCTCGCTGGGACGTGGGAATTGATGAATCACCCAGGATGTAGTCGGTGACATCCTGCGGCCCTTCCAATGAGGAGTTCATCACAGGGGAAGGGGGAACGCCTTCAAAGGACGCCTGATCCTCGTTGAGACTGGTCTCCAGCTTACGTACTGTATCGATGATTCCCTCGCGGTTGGATGGGAAACGTTCTAGTGTGGGATCGTTCAGGTCGATATGATCTGGGTCGATATCATCGATTGGTGACCTGTCTTCGTCTCTGTTTTCGTGTCGCTCAACAGCATCACCGGGCGCAGGGGGGCTGGGGCACTCGTGGGGAAACAACGGCGATTTGAGGGCAAGAATGTCCTCGCCCTGGTTGGTGCTTGGGGGGCCAAAAAGGTTGTCATCATCGAGTTGGGGCTCCGAAATGAGGATAGCCTGTCGATGTCAGTACTGTGCGTGCATACTTATCTGATGGGACATTCTGGATTCATACATCAACACGATCCAAAGCCTCAGCTGTATCCGCAACTTCTGCAGCAGTCGTTGCGGTCTTGGACATGGGAGTAGGCGCCCTCTCGAGCAGGCCATCTCTTGGGTCTCTGGCTGGAACACCTTCATTCAAAAGTGCAGCAGAATCAGCAACCTCTGCGGCAGTTCGAACAAAGTCCGGGGTGCCGGTACCAGATTGTGTCCGGATCTCCTGAGCCTTTATGGATTGCAGAATGCTGTCACTGGGCAACACCACCTTGGCGAACGATGAGTCCTTTACGCTAATCTTGGGGACTTTGTTCTCTTCAGACACCTCGGTCGGTTCCTTTTGAGGCAGGGTCTCTTCAGACCCCTGTGTCGGTTCCTGCGGGGCTTCAGCCTGCTCGGGCACCACAGGCGGTCCTTCCGAAACTTCAGGCCGTTCAGAAACCTCAGTTGCTTCCTTCGAAGCCTGCGTCTCTTCGGCCTCCTCAATTGGCTGCTTTGGTGCTTCAGTGTCTTCGGCTACCTCGACTGGTTCCTTCGGAGCTTCAGACTTTTCGGGGATATTGACTGGTTCGTTTGTAGCTCGAGTCTCTTCGCTCACCTCGACTGGTCCCTTGCCCTCGGTTGAATCATCGATTTTTGGCCTGCGTCCGTTAGCATGACTTTGAACGTCTATGACATAAGGTATCTTGTATTCCCTCACTCTTTTTGTAATTGGATTTCCAGCTCGTGATTGGTATTGCCAGACGCATCAGTCACAGTTGGTTGGCCTGGTGCCAAATCCCACCAATCGCCGTTGCCAATGCGAAATTTGTATTGGTGCTTGGAACCAGGCTCACCAAGCACTTCTTTTGTGAAGAGGTGCTCGCCATTCTCCTGGGTAGTGTAGGACATCTCCTCGGGAGTCCATGGTGGGTTTGAGAAGGTGCCAGCCACATAGATAGGCGGCTGCGTGCCGGGCTTCTCGTATGTGATGACGGCGGGAATCTTGTCCGACGGCATGGCGGGCGGGTGGCGGATGGATATGGCGTATAGCCTGTAGGAAATTCGGTTCAGGGAGTTGGGACACAAGGGGACCGCGTCATCGAACTATCACCCACTGATGAAGTAGTTCTTGAGATGATGATGGTGGTGATGATGATTGAGTTGTGCCGACCAGAAGGAGAGTAAACTGGTGGTGGTTAAGTTAACAAGGTATGAAAGGTAGGTAGGTCGGAAGTAAAAGAGGTAAGGTAGTGAGGTCGAGAATGCGCCGCACCCAATTGTTTCAGGGCCGGTTCCCCTTCCAGGTTCCCATCACGCCACTGGTTCTGCGAGGGGTGTGGTAGTGTGGGACTTAATCAAGGTGGGCAGGAATCGCGCGGGGCAGAGTTGCACGGCAGAAGAGACTAGAAGGAGCAATGCACGAGCTACTGTCTTCACCGTCACTCTGAAAGATAAGGAAGGGGGGGAGGTGAGAACGGAAGGAATAGAGACCTACCTTGTCCTCTGGGAAGTGGTGATTTCCGTCCCACCCGCCGCAGGAATTACAGGCGGTCTGAACGACTCCAAAAATATCAAGACTCAAAATTTTCTATTTAGGCTTCACCGAACTCGGGGGGTTGGACAAAGAAATGGATTCATAGGAATGGAGCGAGCTGCCAGCAAGCAGAGCTGAGTTCTAAGCTGGTGTGAATTCTCCTCCCCAAGCTCCTCTAAGCTGCTGCACGTCGACCCAAGCAGCCAGGCTATCCCAGCCCGAGTGGACATGATTCTGGGTGGCACGCCGTGATGATAACGATATGAGGTAGTGCGCAGTGGTCAGCAAGCTCCTCCAGCTGTGAATGAAATGCCATTGACTGGTGCTTGAACGGCCGTTAGCTCTGGAGCTAAGAGCTGGCCAGTGTTAGCGTCGATCCCCGCCCGGTTCGCCAAGACCTTTCAGTGCGTCATTGACGGCGGTGACAGGCCCGGCGCCGCTTGGCGGTAAGCTTGGGCAAAAACAACTCTGCCCTCTCCCACCGCCTCATTTCAGATGCACTGCAGGGTTCCATCTCAGCCTCCCCTCAAGACGGCCCTCTCTCAGAGCTCCAGTTATATAAACAAAATCCCATTTTTTTACGTCGTCTCGGTTGCGGCGCCTATTACCTCTTGCATTAGCTCAGGCTTTCATTGAGCAGAAGGCGGCAATTCTTTGCAGATTTTGCTGAACTTGCTGTTGACTTCATTGCGAAACATTGTCGCAGAACCGCGCAAGATCCTCGAATCTTGGCATCAGCCACCCCTGTGCCCTGCCTGACGACCACTTCCTGACTGTGTCTTGTCTCAGAACTATTCCAGATTTCAATTTCTTCAACAACAAGCGACTCAGCAGATGAATGAGCTTTGAACATCGACGCCCTGACCCTCTTTTTTCTCGGCAAGCTGGAGGACTTGGGAGCATAAAAAAGGAAGCACTCGATCAGGCACCATCAGGCTTCCTGCAACTCACATCCCCCATCGCCGTTGTCACCGCCCACTCCAACACACCTCGCATCCGAAGTAGACCACGTCAACGCACCATTTGCAGCGTTCCGACAATGGCGGCGTTACCACCCGATACGATCCAGGTGAAGCGCAAACGTGGCATCGATGATGCCCCTGTCGACTTTCTTCGTGCGTGCCCCTAAACCTCATCCATTCGTGCGTCGTTCGCTGTGCTGACCACTGTGTATCACAGGGGTCGATAGGAGCAAGCGCTATCGCATCATCTCTGAGGAAGTCGGCTGGGTTTATCAGCGTAAGCAGGTTGCTGTTCAGCAGGAGAAGAAGGGAAAACAGGACGCCAACCCTGCAGTCCCTACTATTGTGCCAACCAAGGAAGGTGATGAGAAACGACTAAATCGCCCCAAGAAAACACCCAAGGCCCCGAGCACCAATGCCTCCACAACCCTTGAGCCGGTGCCTGCGTTGGCGCCCACAGCCGTACTGGCACCAGGTGCGGCCGATTTGAGCGACCCAACGGTTAACCTGCGTAAATTCCACTTGTCAAGGCCCAACTCGGCACAACCATCTGCTGGCGTGACCAAGAAGCGCGGCGCCACTGCTGTCTTTGTCGAAAGGGGCCCAAAGCGACAAAAGTCAGCAATTCTGACCCCCCAGGTTGTGAAGGATATTCTCGAACAACCCAACACGACACCATCTTCACACTATTCTTCGCCTATCGAAGATTCATCTTCATCTTCTCAGGGACAATATACGAGACCTGTCGTCTATAAGCGACCAGGAACCAGGCCCCGGAATAAGGCGTCAGCGTCCGAATCTGGAACGACTTCAAAGCCCGCCGTGCCCCCATCTATGCACAGCCGAGCAGCGAATATGGACGAACTCTCCAGGGTTATGGATACCTGGACACTGGGTGAGATCAGCAAGAATTTAGACCGAGTGGATCAGCTCAATGCCAAATCGAAGTCCAGCCCAGCCAAGCCGCGGTTCCAACCAAAGGCACCCAAGCTCCGCTACCACGAGCGGCATCCGACAGAGAACGTGGCCCAACAGCAACGCGCTAAGGAGCAAGCGGCCGCGGCTGTAGCTGCAACGTCGACCTCCAGCATGGATATCGACATTATTGATACTTCAGACGACGACGATTATGTGATTGAGACGTACGAGCGTGTCCCCGCTGAGCGGCTGCGGGACCAGGTGGTGCCGGCCCACCGTGTCGGTTTGCTTGTCTTTGACAATGAGCCCGATATTGCCGATTTCTTTTACGGCAATGACGACGAGACTGACGACGAGTTTCCCGAGGATGAGGATGACGAGAATGGTGAGTAACTCGAAGTCCTTAGTAAGGTAGATGAATAGTGCTAAAGATTCGACCTGCAGCGGAAAATTATTATGCCCATGAATATCCCGACGAGGATCTTGAGTGGGATGATGAGTTTGACCACAACGCCTACCAGTATGCAGCCCAGAATTTGTCAGACAATGAGGAATGGGACGAGCGCGACTTTGCGGATGAGGCATGGGATGCTAGCGATACAGTCAAGAACTTTTGAGTGGCAACAAGCAGCATTAATCTTGGAAGTGGTGATCTCTAGAGAGTTGTATGGGAACGGTGGATAAAGGATACCAACTTGTTACTTTTTGTGTGAAGACAAAACCCTTTTTCGAGACGTTTGATATCACTGGTTGAGGAGGACTCTGGCAAAATGATACCCTGGGCATGTCCCGCGTTTAATGTATATTGTACGTTCACTATGACCTCAAGTTCTCACTGATTGTCGTATATTTACAAGAGGCCTGTGGAGTAGAGTACGGCAATAATGAAACTAAGGAGAGATATGCCTCTTCTCGGGGTGAAGGTGAGGGTGAGGGTGAGGGTTGGGGTCACTGATCCAATCAAGTAAAGAAATTACATATTCTACACCAACAATTGCTAAGGGTGCATGGTCTAGTGGTATGATTTTCGCTTCGCATCTTTCCCAAGACGCGATTAAAACTGTGAACGGTCCCCGGTTCAATCCCGGGTGCATCCAATATCTTTTGCTCCGGTTAGCAACTAACTCTTTTTCTTTGTATTATTCAAATTTTGACTCGACTTCGTTTATCAATGACACCGACGGCTTCCGAAGAGGCAGGGTTGCTGATTCAGCAAGGCCGGCCTTTTTGTGCTACAAGTGAGACATATATCCCCCACAATCCCTTGGCTTGACCACTAGATGGCCGTCGGAGACTTCACCACTTCAACAGTTTACCGCTTGTATTTTGTAGCTCCAACACTAGCATCTTAAGCCTCATTTCCGTTGTCTTCTTGTTCCGTCGGTACCCGAGCTATCTGCATCATAATGCTGTGCTTTAATTTATGCCACAGACTGTACATCTCGTAATGTTGCGTCATGAGCGGCCCTTGCCCAGTTCGTAATGAGGAGGTTCGAGGCTCCATGTAATGGAAGGAAGTCGGCTCTATGAGAGTCTTCGGCGCCTTCCACCAAAATTGCAGCATTCCACGCCAGTTACACACCACTTTGGGGGAAAATCGCCTGCCACATCCTCGGGTCAGTCCAAAGTGATCGGCTACCACCTGGTCTCATCGGTGATGTCGATGGTGCACAAGCCGAGAATAGTCGTGTGGCGTCTCCTCCGGGCTCAGGCGCTTGCAGTTACGCCGACTAGTTCGCGATTTCCTCACAGTAGATAAAAGCATTCTCGGACCAAAATACTGACGGACAGGTACATGGCTTCGACACTTCCCTGGGCTCCTAAAGGACTAAGAAAGAGTTTTGTCAGATCATTTACTGTCCTGATGTTATATCTGCCTCGTTCGATCTATCACTCAAAAGTTGAACTTAAACTTGGTGCCCCGAGTGGGACTGTAGCCTGACCAGTACCGATATCCCACCCACCGACTGTCCCTTTAACCTCGATGCTGTCCCAGCCTCTGGTAGCCGGGTTCGTCATTGCCGATCTCTATTTCACGAGGCCTCACACAGAGATCGAAACGGTCGTGCCCAGATATCGGACGACGGCGAAACCGACACGCGATGAAGCTGCCCCGTGTCGTGGGCAGGTTGTTAGCTGCCACAGCGCTCGGTCCGTTGGTTCTAGCCTGCGACAGCTGCTACGGTCCGATTGATGAGCATGTCTCAAAACACGTGCGTGTTGTGAAGCGCATGCAGCCTGGTGCACTGGATGCGCAATATGGCCCTACAAGACCGTTGCAATGGGGGCAGTTGAATGTGTTGCATACAGTCAGTTCTACATCCTCCATTTTTAGCAGCACATCACATTTCTTCTCACCACAATGAAACCATGAAAACTTGCGCAAATCTTTACTCACCTTTCAGTCATTAGTCCGATACTCATGGATGGCTATCTGGCCATATCAAGGAGGCCAACTACGGCGCAGACTGGGGGGATTATGTCTCCTTCGTATCAAGCATGAAAAAGACGGCTGAAAATCTTGGGGTGGATCTACTTCTTATGGATTCTGGCGATCTTCACGATGGCACCGGCCTGAGTGATTGTACCACGCCGAACGGAGAGATATCCAACGAGATCTTTATCAAGCAGACTGGATATGACTTGCTTACTATTGGTGTGTTTTTGGTCCGCCTTCTTCTCCCGATAAAATGATGGTGAGAATCAAGCTGATCTGGATGATTTATGAAGGCAATCATGAGTTGTATGCGTCTGAGGTAGCCTATCAGACCTTTAACAACTTCAGCAGGGCATGGGGTGACAAGTACCTGACTTCCAATGTCCAGATCATGAACCCTGACACTCGGGAGTGGGAGTATGTTGGAAAAACGCACAAGTACTTTACTACTAAACGTGGTGGGTTGTCTCTAGCCATTGTTGGTTTTAGAAATGGGCTAACTGACCTTTCCAGGTCTTCGGATCATGGCTTTTGGTGTGTTATTTGATTTCACAGGTATGCGCCTATGCTTCGCTTTGAGAAAGATATGTCTAACCAGAATAGCAAATACAAACGCTTCACGGATCACTAAAGCCGTGGATATGGTCAAGCAGGACTGGTTCCAGCAAGCAATCCATCATCCAGAACCTGTCGATGTCTTCCTTGTTCTTGGCCATAATTCAGTACGTCCAGGACGCCAGGCCAGCACCTTGAAGACCGTCTACTCCGCGATCAGAGAGGCTCATCCCAACACTCCAATTCAGATGTTTGGTCCGTGGCTGGTTCTCTCAAGTAAACAGAAATGGAAACACAGCTAATATCAGGCAGGTGGGCATAGCCATATGCGTGACTTTGTAGTTTACGATCAGAGTTCCACTGCCTCAGAACCAGGTATCACTTTTTCCTTCTCCACCTCGCAGAACGCCCTCACTAAACAGAAAAAGGCCGCTACTGCGAATCACTCGGCTGGTTCTCCATGTCAGGCTTCAATTCCTCCAATAGCGGCTTCACCGGCCCTCCTAATCCGGACAACGTGCCCAACCCCAACCGAACAGCCAACCCGGCAGTCAGCCCAAAACCCATCGACAAGAAACGCCAGTTGACCACCGCCTCCCCATTCTTATACTCTCGTCGGTATCTTGACTGGAACCGGCTGACCTTTGACTACCACGCCCCCGGCTCACAATTCCTCCAGAACTCAGACACCCTCTCCCATCCACCAAACCTCCTCGCTTCCTCTCCCTCTTCCTCGTCCAACACCTCCTTCCCGCTCAAACCAGCCGGTGCACAAGTCTCGTCTAGCATCACAACCCACCGCCAGCAAATGGGACTAGGAAAAGTATACGGCTGTACGCCGCAGACGTTTTGGCTGAGCGGGGTACCGTTTATGGCGCCGAATTCGCTGTTTACCTTTTTGGCGGACGCGATGGCGCAGCAGATTGTGAATCCGAAACGGAGCAAGATTCCGAGGGTGCATGTCAGTAACACGGGAATGGCGAGGTTTGACTTGCACAAGGGGCCGTTTACGATGGATGATAGTTATATCACGTCGCCGTTTCCGAGTCCGGTGGTGTACATCCCGGAGGTGCCCTGGGAAAAGGCGAAGGGGGTGCTGGAGAGGATGAATGAGAAGGGGGCGGGGCAGGGGAGGAGGGTTGAGTATAACTCTACTACTACATCTGCTCCCAAGTGGAAACGAGAGTTTGGGTTTATGAAAGGGGAAGAGTGTGTTAATCCGACGATTGGGGAGTTTGGAGTTACAAGGGAGAGGAAGAAGGCGTTGTTGGGAAAGAGGGAGGAGATCATGGGGGTTCCGGTGGGCAATGGTGGGGGCAGGAGGCAGGAGGTGTTGTTGGAGGTGGGGTACACGACGGAGGATGACTTTGGGGTGGATGGGGATGATACGGTCCACGAGAGGATTCCAAAGTTCGAGGTTCCGGCTTATTTTGGAACGACGGCTGGGTTTCCGGACAAGAAAAAGGGGAGGATACAGGAGCCGAGGGTGGTGGATTTGGTTTTCAATGATTTGTGAGGTGTCTTCTTTCCCCCTCTCTGCTTTGACTCTTTTTTCTTTGCTTTCTTTTGAAGTTGAAGGTCTGAATGGGTGGTGGTGGCACGAAGATGGAAAGGAATCAGAAGGGGGCTAACACTGGTGGGTGGCGGACAGCATCAACGACGATTTACTCGCTGCGCTCGGGGGCAGCTACACGGCGGACGACATTATGTTTTATATGGAGCCGTCGAACTACACGCTGAGGGACTTTTTGGTGCCGTATGTTCAGAAGAATTGGCAGGCGGGGATGCCGAGGTGTGAGATTTCGGGGATGAGGCCGCATGTTGGGTGAAGAGAAGGGACAGGGGGAAAGGGGAGGAGGGGGGGCTGGTTTAATTGAGGGTTTTCCTTTTGAAGGTGTTACGGGTTGGAGGGTAATGAAAAGTAGGCACAGAAATGTTTGGTGAGATATTGCTTAGTTTTTTTGCTTTCATCTACTAAAGACAGAAAAATGGGCGGAGGAAAAACAACTCGGATGATCATGCTTGAATGGCTTTTCGAGAAGCTAGAGAGATAGATTTAGGCAGCAATGCTAGGAGGTGATATGGAGTAATGTGTAATGATTACCCTGAAATAATAAAATGCATAATTTCGATCATGTAATTAATGCGTCTAAAATTCTCATTTGTGTTGTTGTTCCCCGCAAACCCATTTCAAACCGCAGTTTTCAACCAAGCCTCTCTATCCCCGTGACAGGTGGGTATTAGACCACCCTAACATGGCAGCAATGACAGTAACCTCCTGATCCCCTCCCTCTCATCCCAGCCCTCCTCACCTACCAACCCCTCGAGGTTAAACAGCCTCACAAACTCCAGCTCTTGCTCACCGATAATGATGTTCTTGTTGTTGGTGTCAGCCCCGAACACAGAAAGCAAACAATCCCGGAATACTCCCCTAGGGTACTCCCTTCCATCCTCAATGATATCACTGTTATCTGCTGCCCGATAATGACAGTCATTTTCCTTTGCTCTTTGGGTGGATATATCCCCTACCAGGCAGAGGAATATGAGAACTTGCCTCCACTCTGTTCTTTGGTGAGGTTGGTGGTGATAGCGCAGTTGCGGGTCGAGTAGTTCGCCGCCGCCGCCGCCATCGTCGTCGTCGTTGTTGTTGTTGTTGTTGTTGCTGTTGCCCTCGTGGTCCGTATCATCGTCGTCCAGGCGGCTGGAGGAAGAGTGGATGATGGTGATTTTTTGGAGGTGGTACCGTAGGAAACCGAGGACGGCGGTGCACCCGACGCCGAGGTTGCGGGGGTAATCGGGGAGGAGCTCTTTGAGGAAGAGGAGGGAGGCTGTGCGGAGGGCCGAGGAAAGGGTTTCTGCCATGTCTGAGGGTGTTGCTTCCGTCCTTGGAGTGTTCTCCGGGATCGGGCTTCCTCCTTGTTTGTATTTGTGGTCTTTTTTGAGGAGAGGACTTGGTAGAGTGAGGAGGTCGTATGTGATGGACTGGAGTTCTTCTGTGAAGGAGTAGGGGTCGAATTTTACTGAGGCGGTGTTGGTTGTTAGCTGTTGTCGAACTGATCGAGCTGATCGAGCTGATCGGATTGCAGTGCTGAAGTTTGACAGGGA